CCACCCTGTCTGGGTGGAGCGCGTTGGGAATACATGTGGGGCGGGGCTATGCAGAGAAGGGCTAGGCGCGGGAGACGGGAGCGGGGAGGTATATAAGGTGCACGGGAAGGAGGTCAAGGGGGAGGAGAGGACTGGAAAGCTGGAGAAACCAGAAGAGAGAGAGAGAGATGGCCGTGACCAATGTTCCCTCTAAGCTATGGAGCCCTGTGAGCAAAAATTCTACTTTGTGAGCTCCTGGCATTAAAGTTGTGAGCAGGAGCTTTGGCTGCTGCATAAATTAGTTTGCTCTGGAGCCCTCCTTCCTGAGCTGAGACAAAAATGTGTGAGCCAGAGGCTAAAAAACTGTGAGCTTGCTCACACTAACTCACCTTAGAGGGAACACTGGCTGTGACCCAGCCGGGGAGGCGGAGGACAGTGAAGCAACCCCCTCCCCTTTCCTGTCTGAAACCTCTGTGTACCAGGATCTGGAGAGCCAACCCGCCGGGGAACCACGGTGACCGGCGTGGGCGACATGGGCGTGGGTCAATTTCCTGACACCCTGTCTCTCAGTCCCCAGTCCCCTGTATGCCTGTTTGGCTTAGAGTTGCCAGGCAACCCCAGCAACTGTTGGGGGGGGGGGCTTACTGGCAGCAAGGAAGTGACATCACTGGTGATGTCGCTACTGGCATGCACAGGAAGTGAGGTCATTGCTTCACCGGTGACATGGGACAGTCTGGTATTTGTGCATCAATGCAACGAAACTGTTTTTACCGTAGAGTTTCTGCCCAGATAGCCAGATTGTTCCATGTTGCTGGTGATATGATGATGGTCACTGCCAATGTTCCCTCTAAGCTGTGGAGTCTTGTGAGCAAGAATTCTACCTTGTGAGCTACTGGCATTAAAGTTGTGAGCCAGCGATTTGGCTGCTGCATACATTAGTTTGCTCTGGAGCCCTCCTTCCTGAGCGGAGACAAAAATGTGTGAGCCGGAGGGTAAAAAATTGTGAGCTAGCTCACACTAACTCAGCTTAGGGGGAACACTGGTCACTGCTGGTGTGTGCTGGAAGTGATGTCGCTTGCAACGCTGGCTTAAACGTCTCCTTGCTGCTGTGAAGTCTCTCCTACGGGCCACGTGATTGGAAGCGGGGATCCCCTGCCCCCATTGGGAGGCTGCCAACCCTAGTTTGGCTGTTGCCCCCTCTACGCACGCACCAGTCGGGGCCCATGGATAGCTGAAGGAGCCAGAGGGGAGGGGAGTCAGTTCGTGTCATACAAGGTCTGAGACTTCAGGGAGTGAGTCTGGAGGGATCCTGTCTCAGAGCTGGGTTGGAGAGTAAGGTAAAGGTCTCCCTTGCTCGAAAGCCAGTTGAGTCCGACTCTAGGGTTGCGGTGCTCATCTCCGTTTCAAAGCCGAAGAGCCAGCGCTGTCCGAAGACGTTCCCGTGGTCATGTGGCCGGCATGACTAAACACCAAGGCGCACGGGACGCTGTTGCCTTCCCACCGAAGCGGTACCTATTTATCTACTTGTAATGTCTTGCTTTCGAACTGCTAGGTTGGCGAGTAACCAATCTAAAACAGTGAATGTTTTGAGTGAGAGTTTGTGCTTCCAGGGGAGTAGGCAGGAAGGAATCCTCTCTCGGGAGACTTTGTATGTCTCAGAGCCTTGCTTTTTGGGCTGAAGCTAGCTAATTTCACTGAGCCTTTAAAAGAGCAGACTGGGCTGGCTCAGAGTCTGGTTTTCAGGGGTTGCAGGCTTACCGTTACTAGAATTTCCAGAAGGAGTTCACACTGAGAGCCGGTTTGGTGTCGTGGTTAAGTGCGCGGACTCTAATCTGGGAGAACCGGGTTTGATTCCCCACTCCTCCACTTGCACCTGCCGGATGACCTTGGGCAAGCCGTAGTTCTTTCAGAGCTGTTCTTGAAAAAGGGCATTTTCTGTCAGAGCTCTCTCAGCCCCGCCTACCTCACAGGGTGTCTGTTGTGGGGAGGGGAAGGGAAAGGAGTTTGTAAGCCGCTCTGAGACTCCTTTTGGGTAGTGAAGGACGGGGTATAAATCCAATCCCTCCTCCTCCTCCTCCTCCTCCTCCTCCTCTTCTTCCCCTTCCTCCCCTTCCTCCCCTTCCTCCCCTTCCTCCTCTTCCTCTTCCTCCTCCTCTTCTTCTTCCTCTTCCTCCTCTTCCTCCTCTTCTTCCTCTTCCTCCTCTTCCTCCTCTTCCTCTTCTTCCTCCTCTTCCTCTTCCTCCTCTTCCTCTTCTTCTTCTTCCTCGTCCTCGTCCTCCTCGTCCTCTTCCTCGTCGTCCTCTTCCTCCTCGTCGTTCTCTTCGTCGTCGTCCTCATCCTGTGGAGTTCCTAAAGCCGGAGAAAGGCCAAAGATTCACCTCAGGAACCAAAGCTTGGCTAAGAGCTGCCCTCTGCACTCCCAAATAGTCATTTGCGTCGTTATGGCTTGGGAAGCTGAGCAAAAATGTTGTGTGTTATACTTCTACAAAGTCTCAAGCCTCTTGACTGAACAGCCTTATTCCATCCAAGGAAAGCTAAATAAAAGTTACTGGTTTTCCCCCACTGTTTCCCTCAGGCATCATCTGGAATTACTGCTTTCAGAAGCTTAACTTAGGGCCTGCCTCTCAGGGGAGGCTTGGATAGACCACACTGGTCAAACAACACTGCACGTTGGAGGCGACACTGCGTGGGGGTGGTGGCGGGAGTAGTTGGAGGTGGAAAAAGTGGAAGCCGGCACAAAGCTGGGGGGGGGGGGCGGGCTGTGAGGAGTAGAAGAATGGGCTCTTCCTCCTCCAATAAGTCCTCATGGGTCTTTGTGTCATATCCTTTATATCCGTGGCCACTGTTTGCCCTCTGTGTATCTGGGATGAACTTCGAGCCGTCTCATTACAGCTTCCTCTTTGGCCAGAGGCAGAGGAATTTGTGCGAGTCTGCCCAATTTTGGCAACATTGCTGTGCGTCAATAAAATAAGCTGTGCGTAGAGATGGAGCTGCGGTGGCTCAAGTGGTTAAGACGCTGAACTGCAGGCTGTGGAAGGTCGGTAGCTCAGCAGTTCGAGACCTGGGTGCCGCATGATGGAGTGAGCTCCCGTCTCTAGTTCCAGCTCCTGCCAACCAAGCAGTTCGAAAGCAAGAAATTGCAAGTAGATAAATAGGTACCGCTTCGGTGGGAAGGTAACAGCGTTCCGTGCACCTTGGTGTTTAGTCATGCCGGCCACATGACCACGGAAACGTCTTTGGACAGCGCTGGCTCTTCGGCTTTGAAATGGAGATGAGCACCGCAAGCCTAGAGTCAGATTCGACTGGCTTTCGAGCAAGGGAGCCTTTACCTTTACCTGTTTAGAGATGGATCTCTCCACTGTATGCTAATACTCCAATAATTCCATAATGATTTTGTGTCCCATAAGGTTGCATTCTGCAACCTCCCTTTGAGGTTTCAGACTTGCTGAATAATACTGCTGCAGGGCGTGTGGTGTTTTGCAAATGATCGGAAAACTGAAATATATATTTAAAGCACAAAAAACACACAAACCTGGGCTGCATCCTGCCCGCTGTGCTCAACTTACTGTGGGACCTTCCTCATCGGGGGGGGGGGCTCTTACTGCCGCAGAAGGTGCTTTGCTCTAGGGCAGTGGTGGCGAACCTATGGCACGGGGGCCAGAGGTAGCACTCAGAGCCCTCTCTGTGGGCACGCGTGCCATCGCCCCAGCCAGGCCCAGACCGTCATTAAAGTGTCGAATTCTCTGCCAAATAATTTTAAGTAAATGAAAGCATTTGGGATTGCTTTCCTTACTTTGTTTGGATCCTCTTAAGTTAATGTATGGGTTGTTTTTTCTAAAGTAAAACCTCAGTATTCAGGTTAGATTGCCGTGTTGGCACTTGGAGATCTATAAGTGGGTTTTGGGTCGCAGTTTGGGCACTCGGTCTCTAAAAGGTTCGCCATCACCGCTCTAGGGCAATGGTTCCCCATCTTTTCGATATGGTGACCCACAAGTTCTAAGCTGTTTGATATTGTGACCCATTTTTTTAAAAAAACCATGCATAAATCATAAAAACTGTGAAAGTCTACAACCCGCCTTTTGCGCTGTTCTAGAGGAAGAAGAAGAAGAAAAAGATTGGATTTATACCCCGCCCTTCACTCGGAGTCTCAGAGTGGCTTACAAACTCCTTTCCCTCTCCCTCCCCACAACGGACACCCTGTGAGGTAGTTGGGGCCGAGAGAGCTCTTTCCAGAACTGTCCTTGAGAGAACAGCTCTGACAGAACTATGGCTTGCCCGAGGTCATCCCGCAGCTGCAAGTGGAGGAGTGGGGAATCAAATGCGGTTGTCCCAGATTAGAGTCCGCGCACTTCACCACGACACCAATCTGGCTCTTGAAACATTTTTGTCTTCTTTGCATCCTGAAGTATGTTTCTTGCGAAGATAATTTGTTTTGTTTTCTCCTCCTTTGGCCTCTCGCTGTGCAAAAGCTAACTAACTAGAAATGGCACCCAGCGGTGTTTATTGTTGGGAGTCCTAACATAAACTGCATCTGGAGAGGGTAGAACTCAAAAGAGGTGGAAGCCTGGATAAATACTATGCCTCAGTCTGGAAAACCCCTGTCCCCTCTGTCTGGAGGAGGAACAAAATTAGGTACTTGGGAGGACAGGGCAACGTGGTATAGTGGTTAGAGTGTTGACCTCAGACTATGGAAGGCCTAGGCTCAAGTCAGCCCTCGACCAAGTGGCTCACAGAGGGAGTGTGAAGCTAGTTTTTTGCTCTGCTGGGCACTTTTTGCTTGAATCTCATTGCATTCTTTCAAACCTGAGCGAGGCAGCAGTTACGGGCAATGCCTTCTGGGAGGAAGCTTTTCACATGGATATCTGTGTGCCACTCTTGACCGTGACTTGAGTCCTTCCCATTATGATGCTGTCTTTCACCATAGCGACTGTTTCTAGGCATGGAGTGATGATTCAGTAATGATTTTCCTAGTGACTAATGACTTTTATGTATCTTTCTCTCTCCCCCCCCCCCCCATTTAGCTGGAGTCGCCTTTCTTTGAGTTGTGCCAGCCAGAACTGTGTTCCTGCCCAAAAATAGCCCTGGAGACTATAGAAGGCCTAGGCTCAAGTCAGCCCTTGACCAAGTGGCTCACAGAGGGAGTATGAAGCTAGTTTTTGCTCTGCTGGGCACTTTTTGCTTGAATCTCATTGCATTTTTTCAAACCTGAGTGAGGCAGCAGTTACAGGCAATGCCTTCTGGGAGGAAGCTTTTCACATGGATATCTGTGTGCCACTCTTGACCATGACTTGAGTCCTTCCCATTATGATGCTGTCTTTCACCATAGCGACTGTTTCTAGGCATGGAGTGATGATTCAGTAATGATTTTCCTAGTGACTAATGACTTTTATGTATCTTTCTCTCCACCCCCCCTCTTGGAGTTGGTCTCTGGGCCTGGAGTGAAAAGGTAAGGAAAGTGTGACTCTTAAACTGGCAGGTTGAACCTGTTACTTAAAAAATAAAATAAAAAATGAGCCCCTCTTTTACATTTTACTTTTTGAGGATTCATTTGCAGTGTAACTCCATACCGCTTATTTATTTACAAAACTTACACCCCTGCTTTCTGCCTTCGTAAGAGCCACAAAATGGAGCTGTGGTGGCTCAAGTGGTTAAGATGCTGAACTGCAGGCTGTGGAAGGTTGGTAGTTCAGCAGTTCGAGACCCGAGTGTGCCGCATGACGGAGTGAACTCCCGTCTCTAGTTCCAGCTCCTGCCAGCCTAGCAGTTCGAAAGCAAGAAATTGCAAGTAGATAAATAGGGACCACTTCGGTAGGAAGGGAACAGCGTTCCGCGCACCTTGGTGTTTAGTCATGCCGGCCACATGACCACGGAAACGTCTTCGGACAGCACTGGCTCTTCGGCTTTGAAACGGAGATGAGCACCGTAACCCTAAAGTCGGACTCGACTGGCTTTCGAGCAAGGGGAACCTTTACCTTTACTTTTTACATGATTGTAGGGTGCTGAGGCTTTGGGGCAGATGCTTCTCTGCCATTAACCAAAGTGGGGGGGGAGTGATTTGCAAGTCAGGGCAGGGGAAGAGAAGGCAAAAGGGACTTGTTTACATTTCACTTAAATTAGAGGTTACATCTGAAGCTTGGTGGACTGCATGTAGAGTCTCAATTATGGTATCTCTCCCCCACCCCCGTTTTTTTTAAAAAAGGCTCATTCTTCACAGGTTCCACCGGCCACAAAAAACATTCTTATTTCACCAGCCTTCGATGCTTCTGATTTGTTCTTATCTCACCAGCCTTCGGCGTGCTGGGAAGCTGGCGTTTCCTTTTTGAAAGGTTTTCAGTTTTGCAGTAAACAGCTGAAGTACTTTCGCACATGAATGCCGGTTTGAGTTTCAGGGGTTTCTATTGCGTCAAACCGCTTTGGAGATCTGGCCAAATCTGGTGTGTGTCAAAATCTAGACATACCTTTTATTCAGCTGTTCTTCTCCATCCCCACTGTCCTTTCTGGCAGTTTGCAAGTACAAGATCACATCAAGAAATTAAGACTTCCGCGTGATGCTGGTTATTTGATAGTGCTTTTGTTCACTGTATCCAGCATAGTGTTGTGGCTGAAGTGTCCTATGAGGAGGATCTGGGAAACCAAGGTTCGGATCCTCACTGGGCGACCTTGGCCCAGCCACACTGTCACAGCCTAGCCTACCTCACAGGGTTGTTGTGAGGATAAAACGGAGGAGAGGAGAACTGCTGGTTTTGGGGGAAAGGCAGGATGTAAATAAAGTGAATAAGCAGTAAATAGATATCAGGAGTACATGCCTTCAGTCAGTTTTGGGAATAGTGGTGGCCAGGGCTATTTTTGGGCAGGAACGGAGTTCCGGCTGGCTCCTGAGTTGGCCACCACCAGCAGGGACTCATTAGCATAATAGGCCACACCCAACAGCAGAAACTCATTAGGAATGGCTACATTAGGGGTGTGTGGCCTAACATGCAAAGGAGTTCCTGCTACAAAAAAAGGCCCTGGGTTTTGACCACAAACAAGGTAAACAGAATA